CTGGAGACTAGATTGTAGGAAGGCAAAAACAGAAGCATGTAGAACAACCAATTACAGCATCTATTGTGGACTAGAATGGTTGTAGTAGAGATGCTGAGAATTGGATAGATTTAGGTTACCTTTTGAAGAGAGAGGCAACAGAGTTTCCTGAGGAATTGTGTGTAAAATGTGAGAGATAAAGAATCAAAGGACAACCTGAACAACTGTAAGAATCCATGTGCCATTTAGTGAGATGTAGAGGTATGCAATAGGAGTAGCTTTTGGAGGTAGAAAATAAGTCTGAAATGCATGTTGAATATTTTAATAGATATGTTGAATAAGAAGTCAGATATATGAATATGAAAATCAAAGAAATCAGGGCTGGATATGGATATTTGGAAGCCATCAGCGTTGTGATGCCATATAACAGTGAAGGGAGTGGATTGGATAACCTCAGGAATAAAGGCAGATAAAGAAGGGAACACATCTCAGGCACATTAACATCTAGAGGTCAGGAAGAATCCAGCAAAGGAAAATCAAAGAACTCTGTAATTTCACAAATATCAAATGAAGAAAGTGTTTCAAGTTTTAAGAAGGAGGATGTTAAATTGTGTTAAATGCTGCTGAATGGTTACAATAAAGACTGAGTTGCCCACTGGATTTATCAGAATTGTTTAAATTCTCAGATATCTGCACACAAACTCTTCTTTAGCTCTAACATTTAAATTAGTTCAGAAGTCTCACATTCAAGTGTGCATAAGAACTAAAGATCTAGAGTATAAGCGTAACTTTATGTATTCTGACTTTGTGAGCCATTTAGGGGATTTTCATAGTTATTTTTTATCATTAGGGATTTTTATCATAAAGGCTCAGTTTAGAAACAAATCTCTGTTAGGGATGCAGCTACAGCTTTCTACAGTTGTTTCCAGCCTATCCAATTACTATTCAAGAGATTAGAAAAAGATCACGGTCACAGAGCCTATCCTTTACATATTTCCTCTTTGTTGTTTTATCTTTACAGAGCTCACAAGAAAGCTCACACTATTTTTATTCTCTCTTTCCATAAAGGAATGGTGAGAAGAAATTTAAAGGAAAGACACTAAGTAGAAAATGGAAAGGTTCTATAGGGCTAAACTGAAGAAAACTGGTATCTGTACTACTTAAAACTCATCACCTATTCCTGATGATTTGAGTAGTATGACAGAGACTTAATTATCATTTGTCTTTTCCTTTGCCTACCATCTCTCATCCAAATAAAACTTATATAGAAAATATAATGTGAAATGTGAAATATTGTATAGTAAAGAATTTGGCCTTTCCTAAAGAGAGTTCTGGCCTGTGGCCTCAGATTCTGGGAAATAACCTATCACATCTGATAAAAGCGTCTTTGTTTAGGAAAACTGCCTATGTCCAACAGTTTTACTGTAGAGGCTACCCATGCTAGAAAGACCAACCACATGACTTAGAGGCTTTGGGTCGTGTATCATCTGACCTGGAGACTGGGTTCCATATGGGCAATGGATCAGTGATGCCTCCATAATGGAGCCCCTCAAAAATTCTGAATGTTGAAGCTCTGGTGAGCTTCCCTGACTATTCCCATTTAGAAAAACAAGTGCAGCTCACTGCCAGTGCTCATTTAATTTTACATAAACATGCTCTTTGAGGCTGAAGCAAATCTGACTGATTTTCTATGTGAAAAATTAAATATGAAAACTGTTCTTGGAGTTATTTCTAAATGGAACTAACATCAGAATAGTCTGAATCATCAGAATCGTCTCTTTCAGAAAAATCGGATTCATCAATTGAATCTTCAGCCAACAACTGTTTGAGAATGATGTTAACATCATGTGTAGAAATGCTACGTTTTCTAGGATTTGACATTTTCAGCAATAGAGAATTACTATATTTGCAAATGGAAATGCCACTACTAAAATCCGAATACTATAAATAGAATGTCTTTTGTTTCAAAAGTTGATATACTAGAGTGACATGAAAATAATAATAAAAGCAAGATATTTCATGGCAAATGCATTAGTCCATTTTCATGCTGCTGATAAAGACATACCAAAGACTGGGCGATTTACAAAAGAAAGAGGTTTAATGGACTTACAGTTCCACATGGTTGGGGAGGCCTCACAATCATAGTGGAAGGTGAAAGGCACATCTCACATGGCAGCAGACAAAAGAAGAGAACTTGTGCAGGGAAACTCTTCTTTTTAAAACCATCAGATCTCATGAGACTTATTCACTATCGCAGTAACTAACAGCAGGGAAAGACCTGCCCTCATGATTCTATTACCTCCCACTGGGTCCCTCCCATAACACATGGGAATTCAAGATGAGATGTGGGTGTGGGCACAGCCAAACCATATCATTCTGCCCCCGGCCCCCTCCCAAATCTCATGTCCTCCTATTTCAAAACCAAGCCAACAGTCCCCCAAAGTCTTAACTAAGTTTAGCATTAACTCAAAAGTCCACAGTCCAAAGTCTCATCCAAGACAAGGCAAGTGCCTTCAGTTTATGAGCCTGTAAACTTAAAAGCAAGTTAGTTTTTCCTACATACAACTGGGGTACAGCCATTGCGTAAATACAGCCATTCCAAATGGGAGAAATTGGCCAAAACCAAGGGGTTACAAGGCCCATGCAAGTCCAAAATCTAGCAGTTAGTTAAACCTTAAAAGCTCCAAAATTATCTCCTTTGACTCCATATCTCACATTCAGATTACAATGATGCAAGAGGTGGGTTCCCATGGTCTTGGGCAGTTCTGTCCCTGTGGCTCTGGAGGGTACAGTCTCCCTCCTGGCTGCTTTCATGTACTGGCATTGAGTGTTTGCGATTTTTCCAGGCACATGGTACAAGCTGTTGGTGGATCTACCATTCTGGAGTCTGGAAGACAGTGGCCCTCTTCTCAAAGCTACACTCGGCAGTGCCCCAGTAGTGACTCTGTGTGGGGGCTCTGACCCCACACTTCCCTTTGACACTGCCCTAGCAGAGGTTCTCCCAGAGGGCCCCACCCCTGTAGCAAACTTTTGCCTGGGCATCCAGGTGTTTCCATACATCCTCTGAAATCTAGGTGGAGGTTCCCAAACCTCAATTCTTGATATCTGTGCACCCATAGGCTCAAAATCATGTGGAAGCTTCCAAGGCTTGGGGCTTCTACCCTCTGAAGCAAAAGCCCATCCTGTACCTTGACCCTTTTTAGCTATGGCTGGAGTGGCTGGGATGCAGGGCACCAAGTCCCTAGACTGCACACAGCAGAGGGACCCTGGGCCCCACCCATGAAATCATTTTTTCCTCCTAAACCTCTGGGTCTGTAGTGGGAGAGGCTGCCACAGAGGTCTGTGACATGGCCTGGAGACATTTTCCCCACTGTCTTGGTGATTAACATTCAGCTTCTCATTACTTATGCAAATTTCTGCAGCCAGTTTGAATTTCTCCTCAAAAAATGGGATTTTCTTTTCTACATTGTCAGGCTGCAGTTTTCCAAACTTTTATACTCTGTTTCCCTTTTAAACTGAATGCTTTTAACAGCATCCAAGTCACCTCTTGAATGCTTTGCTGCTTAGAAATTTCTTCTGCCAGATACACTAAATCATGTCTCTCAAGTTCAAAGTTCCACAATTCTCTAGGGCAGGGGCAAAATGCTACCATTCTCTTTGCTAAAACATAACAAGAGTCACCTTTGCTCCAGTTCCCAACAAGTTCCTCATCTCCATCTGAGACCACCTCAGCCTGGATTTCATTGTTTATATCATTATCAGTATTTTGGTCAAAGCTATTCAATAAGTCTCTAGGGAGTTCCAAAGTTTCCCACATTTTCCTGTCTTCTTCAGACCCAAACAGATCCAACATACTCAAGACTGGGCAATTTACAAAAGAAAGAGGTTTAATGGACTTACAGTTCCACATGGCTGGGGAGGCCTCACAATCATGGTGGAAGTTGAAAGGTACATCTCACATGGCAGCAGACAAGAGGAGAGAACTTCTGCAGGGAAACTTCCCTTTTTAAAACTATCTGATCTCGTGAGATGTATTCACTATTACAAGAACAGCAGGGAAAGACCTGCCCCCATGATTCAATTAACTCCCACTGGGTCCTTCCCACAACACATGGGAATTCAACATGAGATTTGGGTGGGGACACACCAAACCATATCAGCAAAGCAATCTCAAGGTAAATGCTGCAGCTGCAAGTGCCACTCGCAAATATTCTTGGGGCAAACAGGAAAAGGGTTACTGGAATTCTACATTGCATATTGTCAAGCGTGGATTTTGGGAGAGTAACATGTCTTGACTCCACTGGGAGAGTACAGCAAATAATGGGAGAGTACAGCAAAAATGATGTGTTTGGTACCCTCCTGGACACCGCCTTACGTGCTTCTTCCCTTGGCTGATATCAGTCTGTATTCTTTCCTTGTGATAAATGGTAACTGTAAAGATAACAACTTTCAGTGAGTTCTGTGAGACCTTCTAGCAAAATTTCAAACTTGAGGGTGTTTCTGGGAACCCTCCAAACTTGCAGTTGGTGTCAGAAATGAGGGACGCCTTGGAGACTGTGCCCTCAAACCTCACAGGTTGTCTAACTCTAGGTAAATATATCAACCTACAAATTGTCTCCATCACAAACTAGAGGCTGCTTTATGTTTTTTGTTTGAAATTCTCTTAAAGTATGTTTTGAACATTGATATGTTATCTTTTCTCATTAAAAAAAAAATTCCAGGCATAATGAAAAGTGTGTTCTTGAGTCTAACTCAGCTTTTTTTTCCTAGCTTCTAGATGGAAAACACAAGTGATAGGGGGTTGATTTCAAGTAATAATCATTTTATTGGAAGGGTCATTAGAAATTAGTTGGTTATATGATTCTACTTTTTGGGCTTTGAATATAAACTGAATCTAGAAGGCAGAACTTGTTGTAATTACTATGCCACACTTCACACATACTGTCTTAGTCCATTTTCTGCTGCTGTAAGAATACCACAGACTGGGTAATTTATAAACAAAAGAAATTCATTTGACTTACAGTTCTGGGGACTGCGGAAGTCCAAGATCCAGAGGCTGCATCTGGTGAAGGTCATTTTGTGGCAGAAAGCATCACATGAGGAGAGAGGCTGAGACAAAGTAGTGACAGTGCACAAGACAGAGAGAAAATGGGGGCCAAATGTATCCTTTTTATCAGGATCCTACTCCCATGATAAGTAATCCACTCCCACAGTAATGGCATTCATCCCTTCATGAGGGCATAGCCCCTATGGTCTAAATCACCTCTTTAAGGCTTCACCTCTTAATATTATTACAATGGCAATTACATTTCCAACACATGAATTTTTAGAGAACACATTCAAACCACAGCACATACCTGCTTGGGCTTGGGCAAGGGCAGGAATGTTACTTGATTCTCCAAATTTAAGTCAGCATCCAGACCTCGCTCTAATAGAGTTGGTTAATTTGGACACAGCTTTGCCCTTAGCATCTAATTAAGAATATTTTCCTTAATGGATATTCTTGAACTGCCAAAATGTTGGCACTGAGCCCTAGTCATGATAAGTAGGTTTACATTTTATTTTTAACTTAAATGAACAACATGTAGTCTTGATAGTATTTTTGGAGGTGTCCGTCTGCTGTATGTCACTGAAATTATTTGATGTGAAGGGTCGGAGTAGATTGATAAAAAGATAGATTCCGAAGGAAGTGGTCTGGAATAGGAGGAGGATATGCCAAATATGGTAAAGGAACATTTCTTTGATCATCCTAGTGATCAAAGATGGACCAGCTGTTAGCCAGGAGGGAACAAATTTCCTTTCCTTTTTCCTTGTCTTAGTAGCATTTTAAAGTGCAAGAGAAGAGAGGTGGGGAGAGAAACTGAAGTTTCTGGCTTCCCTGGAGATGTATAAATTAAAACTATAAATAAACTAACTTGTACAGTTTAGATGACTATGGTTACAATGAGGGGAAATTTTTGTACTTATACCGTGTAGTCATCATTGTAATGGTTTCTGCTACGCTACACATGGGCTGTTGTAATTCTAACAAAACATCTAAGCCCACACACAATTTTTGTTGCTTTACCTCCTTTCTCCTCACAGATATCCAGAAGATATTTTTTGTGGTCAGCTGAGGCAGGAGTTTACCACTTAGGGTAGAGTAAGGAGAGAAAAGGACTCACTCTGTTTTAGCACATAACCTCCTCATTCTTGATTTTGACATCTTAGGCAGGATTGGACTTGAAAGGATATTTACTCACTGGCTGTTGTCATATAGCAGATTAGTTTCTTTTGCTGAAAAATAACTCCAAAATTTACTGGCTTAAAGTAACAAGAATCATTTTCGTTCCCTCTAATTGTTTCTGTGGGTCAGGAATTCAGAACTGGGCACAGTGGGGATGGTTTGTCTTTGCTTTACGAAATTTGGGACCCCAGCTGAAAGACTGTATGATAGGAACAATCTGAAGGCTCATTCATTCCCATGTAAGTACAGCTGGAATTGTAGGCTGAAGCACCCTTATATTTGTTCAATAGTTTACTATTGAACAAAGTACCTTCCCCTAACCCTTGAGTGGGCCTCTATCCTGGAAACATTGAAAGGTCCGGTTACTCATCTCTTGACCAATCTCCATGTTTTATGTAAAGATTGGTATATTCTCTTTTTATTCAATTTTCATTAGTTTTCCCACTTATGTTCTATTTCTGTTTCAGGAACCCACATTAAAGTTGGTCTCTTTAGGCTCCTCTTGGCTCAGACAGTTTCTCAGACTTTCCTTGTTTTTCATGACTTTAACTGTTTGGAGTAGTACTGGTTAGGTATTTTGTCTGATGTTTTTCTCATGGTTAAACTGGGATTATACATTTTTGGCAGCCTTATCTTTTTAATATAATTTGTCACTGTTGCAAAAGTCTACCAAAATAAAAATGTTTCCCTCCTCTGTTCAACAGTCCTTCAGTTTCTCCAATTGTCTGCAGCAGAAATTCAAATTACTCAGGATGACATATAAAGCTTTTCAGAATCTGGCTGTTGCCTTCCTCTTCAGTATAAAGTGTCACTCTACAAACCATTCTAGTTCTTTCCCGAAATGAAGCCCTAACAGTCTTGCAATGCCCGAGATTCATTAAAAAGACAAGGTAAGGTCACTACCATCAATGACTTTACATTTTAGGGGGGCAGGGTACATTTGCAAATAAATAAATGAATAGCATTCTACTTTTATGAAGGAAACAAGAAAGGAGTGGAGATTAAGAAGTACAAACAGTGTGGGAGTGAAGTATACTTTAGAGAGTCTGGGATCTCCTCTTTGAAGAACATAACTGTTGGTTTACTTGCCAGCCACCAGACTTTCCTTCTCTTTAGCTGTCTCAGAGGAGAGAATGTCTAACTCAGCTTTGTTTCCCCAGCGTCTAGTTTAGCCTAATTCATTAAATTAACAGTTTTGGACTAAATAAATGCGCTGAGAGTACTATCTAAAAATTAAAAATCAGTTGCTACCATCCCTCTCCCCAGATTTATCCTTGAAATACCTTTCAAACCTGTTTCTGGAAAAAATATTAATATCCGTAAGAGTCCCATCTGCGTTAAGCATGATGAGAAAACTTTTGTCATTAGGATGCTAGTATTAACTTCCTATTTTACATGTTATAATTCAAAAGTAAATTTAATCTTTCAAATCTAGACCTCCCGGTTTTTCTGGAATTGAATGGACATGGTAAAGTCTGACACACTGTGAGTGGGGGAATGGGGAATTGGCTGTGAGGACATCCTCAGAATGGTTAAAATTCCGCGGGGAGAATGAGGCTTTAAGGTGGACTCGTCCTCTACCGCTACCCAGGCAGACTTCATAAAGAAGGGCGAGCAGAGTCCGCCAGTGCGTAAGAGGACTACTTAATTCACGTGGGCCTCTTTCTCCATGCCACTTAGTACCACAGGAACCTACCTGGGTCCCGCGCCCCGCCTATTTCCGGGTTGTCGCCGCCGCTGCCGTCGCGTGCGTAATGACGTGTCAGTCTCCTGCAGACCCCGGAAGTGCAACTCGAACTTGGTCGGGGCGCGGATCCCGAGAGGGAAAGTCATAACAACCGCACGAGGGAGTTCGACTGGCGAACTGGAAGGCCACGCCTCCTCCCGCCTGCCCCCTCAGCCCTGTAGCTGGGGGCAGAGCTCAGGTAGGACTGCCGTTTGCGGGGATGTGAGCTCCGGGGGCAGGCCCGGGTCGAAATCCGAGGAGGGTGCTGGCCTGAGTCGGGCTCCGGCGGGGGTCGCTGGCCCTGGGGCCCGAAGCTGTCAGGAACCACGCTGCATTCCCTGCGGACACCTCTGACTTGTGTCTGGGTCCCCGCTGATGGGCAGGTCCCATGTGCGATTTCCAACCTCCAGTCGGGAGCGACACGTGTGTTGCCTGGATGACTTTCCTTATATCGGGGCGTACGGGATTCTGGGAGTCCCTGGAGACAGAGTAATGGGCCCTCCTCCGCTTTCTTGGGAGTGGAGGTATTGTGGTTCTTGTATTAATTTTTTTTTTTCCTACAAAAAGTGTTATTAACTGCTAGCGCTTTACCAGAAGTCATTCGCTGCAGACGGATTAAAGTGCAGTTATAAAATGCTCTCAAAACTTGTAACATGCATGGGCGCGGGTGGGACGTTTCTCTGGGATGCAGTATGAATGTATGAATTAAGTGTTGAATACTTTTGACTTTGAAATAAAGTAAGTATGTTTTGGAGGCAGTCTTCTCTTTCCCTCATCCAGGTGTTTAACATATTCTTTTAGTGCTCCAGGGTCTGTATCTGTTGGGCCAAGAAACTCGTTATTTGTGTTTTGGATATGCTGTATTTAATGACATGCAATGTTGCATTTGTCCGTTTCTCCCAAATCCGCAAAAAAGCTGTAGAGGGAAAAATTCTCTGGTTTTTGTCTGCAATAGAGGGAAAAATTCTCTGGTTTTTGTCTGCAAGTGCCTTGTATATTTATCAAAATATCAATGCGATTTTTTAATGCAGTACATGACATCGTTTGTATTAACGCATGCCGTATACTGCGTAACAAATATCACATGATAAGGTGTATCCTTTATCCTACAATGCGAGGGACAGTTACACTGTATACATTTAGCGAATGTAGAAACTGAGTAAGAGAGTATTTTTGGATCTGCTGGTACCAGGCTTCTTTCAGAATTTTCAACTAGGCCTTACTTCCACTTAACCAGTGAACCCTACACTGAAAAGTTAGGGTGCTGAGTAAGAGAGTATTTTTGGATCTGCTTCATTAAGGCCTCAGTGACAGTGCTGGTACCAGACTTCTTTCAGAATTTTCAACTAGGCCTTACTTCCCCTTAACCAGTGAACCCTACACTGAAAAGCTCTGGATGCTTTCCAGCTATGGCTGCTCCATATGGTAGAATAAATAGTACCAAGGCCAAGAGGGAAACCATGAGCATCCACCTATTTATTCATTTAGCAGATATTTACTGGCAACCTTCAGTGTGCGGGATAGTGTTCAGGTGCTGAGAAGACAGTCGTGAACAAAATAGAAAGTCCTTCTGCTCCTGGAACTTACATTCTAATGAATGGAGAAGTATAATTAACAAGTAAATACATAACGAGTAGTGATTAAGAGCTATAAAGACTGGGTGCGGTGGCTCACGTCTGTAATCCTAGCATTTTGGGAGACCGAGGCTGGCGGATTGCCTGAGCTCTGGAGGTCGAGACCAGCCTGGGCAACATGGTGAACCCTGTCTCTACTAAAATACAAAAAAATTAGCCGGGTGTGGTGGCGTGCACCTGTATTCCCAGCTACTCTGGAGGCTGAGGCAGGAGAATTGCTTGAACCAGGGAGGTGGAGGTTGCAGTGAGCCAAGTTGTTCAGATCATGTGCCACATAATTTCTATTCATAATGAGTTCAATTGAGTAATTTGAGTGTGTAATTTAACAATGTCCAAAACTGTAAAAAAAATTGTAAGTGTAATCTGGTAAGAAGGAAGGGCATTTAAAAAAATCTAGAATGTCCAATTGCCCATAAGTTCAAGGTAACAACGTCTTTTTTTTTTTTTTTAAACTATTGAATGTTTTGTACACTGTCATAATTTATTAGATACTCTTGGGGGTGCTACGTTGAGCTATTTCAGTTATAAATCTCATTTAAATCAATTTCTTTGCTTTAGTTTAATGAATGAAAAATTGTATCACAATTTTATAACTCCTTGGCAAATTAAAATTGATTAATTTACTACAGATGAGATGGCAGATGACTGACTTACTCAAGGTTTCACAGCTAAGTTACAGAGAAATTAGAGACAAAAATGCTATGCTGCTTTCTCTAATATTGTTTGTTGTCTCCATTTGGAGGGAATGATCTCTTTTGTAATATACATAATTGAGATAATTTTTGCTTCAGAGAAAATAACACTGTCAAGACCATCAAAGTAAAGCATTACTGTATATTTCCATTTCTTCATATCAGATTTATTTATTTTTTTACTTGGAAATTGCTAAGAAACTAGATTTTATTTTATTTTTAAACTTTTATTCCTTTCTAACTTTTATTTTTATTTTAGTTCAGGGGGTACATGTGCAGTGACCAGATTGGTAGTTTTTCAATTCTCATCCTCTTCCCAACCTCCACCCTGAAGTAGACCCCATTGTGTACTGTTCCCTTTGTCCATGTGTACTTAATATTTAGCTCTCACATGTAAGTGAGAACATTTTGTATTTGTTTTTTTTTCTGCATTGATTCACATAGAATAATGGCCTCCAGCTCCATCCATGTTGCTGTAAAGGACATTATTTTATTCTTTTTTCTGGCTGTGTGGTGTTCCATGGTGTATACGTGCCACATTTTCTTTGTTCAGTCCATTGTTGATGGGTATGTAGGTTGATTCCACATCTTTGCTTTTTTGAATAGTGCTGTGATGACCATATGAGTACATGTTGTCTTTTTATTGGAATGATTTATATGCCTTTGGGTTTGTACCCAGGAATGGGATTGTTGAGTTGAATGGCAGTTCTTTCTGTTTTAGCTTTGAGAAATCTCCAAACTGCTTTCCACAGTGGCTGAAATTTACATTCCCCCCACCACTGTAAAAGCATTCACTTTTCTCCACAACCTCATCAGCAGCTGTTATTTTTTTACTTTTTAATAACAGCCATTCCAACTGATGTGAGATGGTTCTTATTTTGGTTTTGATTTGCATTTCTCTAAAACTCAGTGATGTTGAGCATTTTTTCATATGCTTGCTGGCCATGTGTATATCTTGTTTTGAGAATTGTTTGTTCATGTCCTTTGCCCATTTTTTATGGTTTTTTTTTGCTTGTTAATTTGTTTAAGTTCCTTACAGATCCTGGCTATGGGACCTTTGTAGGATGCATAGTCTGCAAATTTTTTCTCCCATTCCGTAGGTTGTCTGTTTACTCTGTTGATACTTTCTTTTGTTGTGTAGAGGCTCTTTAGTTTAATTAGGTCTTTCTTTTCAACTTTTGTTTTTGTTGCAGTTGCTTTTGGAGTCTTCATATGAAATCTTTGCCAGGGCCTAGGTTCAGAATGGTATTGCCTAGATTTTCTTTTAGAGTGTTTATAGTTTTAGGCCTTACATATAAGTCTTTAATCCATCGTGAATGGATTTTTGTGTATGGTAAAAGGAAAGGGTTCAGTTTCAATCTTCTGCGTATGGCTAGGCAGTTATCCCAGCACTCTTTATTGAATAGGGAGTCCTTTTCCCATTGCTTATTTTTGACTTTGTCAAAGATCAGATGGTTTTAGGTGTGTGGCTTTATTTCTGGGTTCTCTATTCTGTTCCATTGTTTTATGTGTCTGTTTTTTTTTTTTTTTTTCCCCCAGTACCACGCTGTTTTGGTTACTGTAGCCTGGTAGTATAGTTTGAAGTCAGATAGTGTGATGCCTCTGGCTTTGTTCTTTTTGCTTAGGATTGTTTTGGGTATTCAGGCTGCTTTTCAGTTCCATATGAATGTTAGATATTTTTTCTAGTTCTGTGAAAAATGTAATTGGTAGCTTGATAGGAGTAGCATTGAATCTGTAAATTGCTTTGAGCAACATGGCCATTTTAATAATGTTAATTCTTCCTCTCCATGAGTAAGGAATATCTTTCCATTTGTGTTGTTTCTGATTTCTGTAGCAAAGTTTTGTAATTCTCATTGTAGAGATCTTTCACCTCCCTGTTGAGCTGTATGCCTAGGTATTTTATTTCTTTTGTGGCTATTGTGAATGGGATTGCATTCTTGATTTGACTCTCAGCTTGGACGTTATTGCTGAAATGCTACTGATTTTTTGACATCGATTTTGTATCCTGAAACTATGTAGAAGTTGTTTATCAGATCTAGGAACCGTTGGGTAGAGAGAGTGGGGTTTTCTAAGTATAGAATCATTATCATCTGTG